TGTCAACACTCCAAGACCTGATGATGCCACCAACCCCTCCAAGGCCTTTTCCTAATACCGTGCAGTCCACAACCGCCTCCTCCTATAGTTGTCCAGTTCACTGCTACCTCTCCTGCTCCCTCCTAGGCTGCAGCCACCTGCTACCCGCCTCCTACCAGTAATCCCCTATCACCTCAACGCCTTCCAGTGTTGCAACCACTTGTTGCTTGACAGCTTCCAACACTGCCACAACTCTCTTCCTTTCCTTCTGGGCTTTCCACTTTTCTCTACAGGGTTGTTTATGCGTTTTGTGCTATTTTCTTTCTTATTTTGCAGATTCGTCGTTGAAACCTGTCAATTGCATGTTTGTGTTGATTTATGTTTGAGGATTTATCATTGTAACCTTTGAATTTAGTAATAAAATTTGTTGTTCGATCGTGGTTTGGTTTAAATCCGATATCATTTGGTATCAGAGCTAGCATAATCCTAGTCCTATTATAAGGTTTCCTATCATCAGCTTTACCCCTCCACCAAAAATTTGCTTTCCTATTTCCAAACCATAGTCAACTTCGACCGAACCATAATTTTCCCTTGCTGATTTACAAAATCAACAACTCTAAATCAATTCTTTTCACCCTTTTTCATCTCTCAACTCTAAACCCTAGCCATGCCGCCAAAAAGATACATGCACAAGCTATCAGAAAAAAGATACTACGAGAGATCCAACGACTTCAGCGGAGGAGAGTCGAAGGAGAGAATAGAAGAATCTGAAGATAAAGCGGGAGATATAGCGACAACTCCTACTAACTTACTAAAGATATAATGTTCAAACCCAGCTTTAGAAATGGAGAGACCACAACACCGAAAGACCACCACATCTTACAGGCAGAGTTCAACCTAAGGATATTACAACCAGAGTATAATCAGAACACCCAAGACGACCCCAACAAAGGAAAAGCTGATTCAGAGTGGAGAACATGAGGAACCAAACTGCATCCCTAAATCTGTCACAACTAGTAAGTGTTGTAAGTGCCACGACATGTTGAATCAAACTGCACAACTGGGGGTAATCTGTTTCACTGAGCAGGATGTTCTTAAAAAATTAGGTAATGACATAATATACTGAAGACGGTGAGGACATAATAAAAGAGCACCAGCTTCTAATTAGGAAAGAAAAGATGCACATAGTCCTAGCTGAGCCTGTGGGAGGACTCTAATCGAAGCCATGAGTTCGAGAAACTGACACCAGAAGCATGTTAACTACAGATAAAAAAATTCATGTCATTCAAATCTATAAACTCATTCATGAGTTGCCCCTACTGAGAAAGATTCAAATGGGGCTCTTTTGTGCCATAACTGGAAGATTATACAGAGTTATTCAAATGTTAGATTCAGTTCAGCATGGTACCCATCATCAGATGTCCAGATAGGAGGGATGAACCCCAATGTTGAAATTTGTCTTAGGAGCTTGATGAAGAGGGAAATTCTTCAAATGAATTCAAATCATATCAGTGAAGAAGAAGTCTCTCCTAAGTGGTTGAAAGTGAGAGAGGTGCAACTTGCCATAAATTTCAACCTAGAGTTAATTTCTCCATACATAATTGTTTATCAAATACACTCAGATGAGTACGAAGAGTAGAAGAAGATAATTATAAATTTGATGGCTCGAGACTTGATTCGTGAGGAAACTCATCCAAATAAAGTTTCAATTTTGATTGTGCTAAAATGGGATGAATACATATTCTATTTAGATGTGTTTTAATATGCCAACACCAACAAGATTGACTTATAGATCACCTTCAACATGGTTGACTAGATGCCATATGATGAGACAGAAGCTTCGACGGATGTGGTCAAAGCTCCCCCAAACCCCGAGATGTATAGTGTCGCGGTCCAACCCAGAGGACTTGCCATCTAAAAGGAGAAGATACTCCCTTTCCAAATCGACCCCCTTCCTTTCCTATTTCTCTTGCTATTCTATTTCTATTCATTGCCCTTTCTATGCCTTCTATTCCAATTCCTTCATACTCTAACTACTTGTCATGACCCAGTCCAAGAGCTTAGAATGACCAAGGCAGGAACTAACAGTCGGGCGGAGAAAACCTATCTAACACTTTCAGTTCATCACAAAAATAAAAATCAAAAGGACAAACTCATTCTATTTATAAACTTCTATTTAAAACAGATTGTTTATATTTAAACATTTATATTCAAATAAAAAATAAACTAAACTACAATACTTATCAGCTTGCGCTCCTCGGCGCCTGGACACATACTCGCTATGTTCCATCTAATCTACAACTAATTTTCCTGTAAAAATGTTAATAGCTATGGTTTGAGTTAAAACTACTCAGTAGGTAAATATTTCTAAATTACAATAATTCATTTTTTAAAATATTTTGAAAAAGTACAGTAAAAGTAAAAGATTGAAGTAAAAGAAAGCAGTATAAAAAATAATTTATTTCCTTTCATTTACTTAGGTTACAATTTTTATAATTGAAAGTTACCGTCTAAACGTATACTTTATAAAAATATATGTTTAACCATTTTCAACCCACCATAAAGATAGACAACCATTTCTATTTCTATTTTCATTTCGAGCACGGGTACATTGTATTTCCATGCTAGTACCATATAGGGGTGACTCCCATATGCATACATATATCATGTTTTATTCATTTTTGTCTTGCATTTAACATTTAAAAAGAGATGGACTTTTACCTTTTAAAAATAAAAACTGAGAACAATAAAAACATGCGTAAAAAAATAGAACTATTGTAAAATAAAAACATATTACCCACCTCAACAACATCGTCTAATATCTTTTTTTTCTCAGGTTAGTCTAGTCCTTAAGTGCACCTATAATAATAATTTAAATGTAATTAACATCTTATTCAGTGCTAATCTTCTCTCCCATTGCTTCTAGATTTTCTATCATTATTTCCATAATTTATTTACATCATTAGCTATTTATTTACCTATATATATATATATATAGAGAGAGAGAGAGAGAAGAGAGAGAGAGAAGAGGGAGAGGGAGAGAGGGAGAGAGGGAGAGAGAGAGAGAGGAATATCCAATTTAATTTTTTTGTAAAAGTTTTCAGAATTTTCAATTGGGCACCTAGCAACTTAATTATAAATAAATTTAAATTTAGGGTTCTTACATTCATTTTAACGTTAATTAATTAAGAAAGTAATAGTAAATTTTTGAAATTGAACCTTATACCTGAATTTCCTTTTCTGGATAAGGTTTTGTCTTGCTCGAGCACTCCAGGTAGCCGAACGAGCTTCCTCTTCTTCTTCCTCCTTTGCTACTCGTGGCACTTGACTGAGCAACGCTCGAGCTCCCTTCATGCAAGGAAAATGTTGCACTAACCCTCCCTCTATTCTGGCTCGATTACAAGTAAACTCCTCGTCCTCCTGTTTCTTTTTCTTCTCCCTCCATTATTGCTTTTTCTTCCTCCTTTTCTTCTTCTTCTACCTTACTCTCTCGCTCTCACACAATCCCCCCAGTCTCTCTCACTTCGCTGGGTTTGAATGAAAGGAGACAAACTACCCCTTGTTCTTAACTCCCCATGAGCGATGAACTTTTCGCTCGAACAATGCAGGCGTCATAAGCAACTAATTTTTTTTAATTAAGTTAATTTTTTATAATTATTATTACACTACTAGTACCTATTTGATATATATATATTCTGATTACTTGCTTAAGGTTTAGTTCCTGATTATTTCTGATTTCAAATCTTTGACTTCAGTGTTTTCCCCTTCCGAGGGTTGTATCCGACGACAAGAAGGTACTTCGACCGTAACTCATCAGAAGTGGTGATTATCATCGCTCGTTTCGTCCTTTCTACTACAGCCAGGCCCTCCAGAGCCTACCGTTTCTACAGCCAACCCCTACAAGGCCTGTTCCGATGCCCTCCAACCCCTCCGGGGTCTGTCTTTGCTGCTACCAGCCCCTCCAGGGCCTCTTCCTGCTGTTGTCCAGTCCACAACCATTGTTGTCCAACCACAGCCGCCCCTTCTTGCTGTTGTCCAGTTCACCACCACCTCTCCTGCTCCCTCCTAAGCGGCATCCACCCGCTGCCTGCCTCCTCTGAGCAGTGCCCCATCACTCCTATGCCCTCCAATGCAGCAACCACCTGCTGCCCGACACCTTCTACCACTGTTGCATCTCTCTTCCTTTCCTTCTGGGCCTCCCGCTCTCCTCTAGAGGGTCGTTTATGTGTTTTGTATTGTTTTCTTTCTTACTTTACAGAGTCGTCGACATCGGTCGTTTTCATGTTTGTGTTTTTTTATGTTTGAGGATTCAATGTTATAACTTTTGAATTCAGCAATAAAATCTGTCATTCAATCGTGACTTGGGTTAACTCCAGTACCAGTTTGTAATTTAAAAATGATGGAATAAGAGAATACAATTTCTCCACTTTTCCTCAGTTTTAAGTTTTAACAATGTTAAAGAGAATTGGATTGGTTTGGTAGCATTTGAAGGTGATAACCGCAAAAATTTAATTAGGCGTGCTAACTCTCCTCCTAGCAGCTGGACATCCTAATTCCAAAGTTGAGCAATGCACGGATTGCTACAAGAATAGACACGCAACCAGAATAGTTTATGTTAGGGAAGACTGGTCGAAAATGGAGAAAATTAAAGCAGTCCATACGGTTTCAATAAAGTTTCACTTTAACGGAACAACTCTGAATCCTAAAAAAAAAAAATAAATAACAAATGCGGTACTCAGAATAAGGCTCCACTACTTCAAGTAAAATAATTGAGAAGACGAAGTACCTTCCCAAAGAATACATTTTTGTAAAATACATAGACATTCGTGTTACTATTTATATAATGTGAAGGCCACGCACGTCAGTGATATATATATATATATATATATATATATATATATTTCCTTTATATTTGCAACTTACTGAGATAATACATGTAGTATTGAAAAAAGCAAGCACATCCATCATTTTAGAAAAATGAACAATGGCAAACAAAATTCTGTACTCTAATCATTAATTACCTCTCCAGATCAAAAAGTGTTCCCTCATCAGTTCCTACAAACAGATCCTCAATTGAGGAATCTGCTAAACAGAAAAGGCAGCAGTGGTTGTTATAGAGCTCATCAATGAGAGTAATAAATCTTCTAGCCTGGGGATTAAATCCAATGCTGATTAAGAAATAAACATTGGGAAACATAAAACAGAAATTGATAGAAAAAAACAATTCGACAATTAGGATACTTATGTGCTCACTGAGCAATTAAACTTACCTTAATCCTAAAATAAAAACGGTAACAGAAACAGGAAAATTTGTACCTTGTCTCTAATCCTCATGCTCATGACAGGAATATCGGAAATGAAAACGGTGTGATAATTCCTAGCAATCGCAATGTAATCTGCTGCACCAGTCTGAACATTTAGCTTTCAATAAGCCACAAGACTAAATAAAATTCAAGGATAATAATCTTAATAAAAAATTCCACAAAAAATTGTTCAACTTATTAATGATACAGCTCATAAGATTGTCAATAACGCAAAATCTAAGTCTTCACAATATATGTAGAAGTATTTAATTGCTGCTCTATAATATTTTATGAAAGCAGAAGTCTGCATTGACTGCTTAAGTTGAATAGACATTAACAGTGCATGTAATTAGCCGAGGAGTCCGTATTTACAAACTACGTCTACATGAATCCTTTTTCTCCATTGCGTCCTATTTAGTGTCATATTTTCATTTAGTTCTAGTAAATTAAGATCATTTTTAATACAATAAGCCCAAGTCTTCCTAGGTCTACCTCTGCCTTTCTTAACAAAAGTCGAATTTAAAACATCTACTCTCCTAATCGGATCATCTAATGGTCGACGTTTAATATGACCAAACCATCTAAGGCGACTTTCTCTAATTTTGTCTGTCACAGGAGCTACGCCAACCCTATCACGAATATATTCATTCCGCATTTTGTCTCTAAGTGTAAAGCCACTCATCCACCTAATCATTCTCATCTCGGCAACACTTAACTTATTATTATGAAATAAGCAGCTACAGGACCTCTAAAATTTCTAAAATGAACCACAAGAAGTGCCAGAGTTTTTATGTCCAGTCATACATCAATATAAATATTACTGACTTGTAAAGTTAATTAGTGAAGTAAAGATTTTTGTTCGTACAGTTAGCTCAAGTTCATCTTCATTATCATTATCAATCTAAGCAATTTCATTATCCTTGCCCAAACTGTTGGGTCAACTTTGTGAATTCTTATTTTTCATTGGTTTTTACAAAGTATTGATTAAGTGTTAAATTTAACCATTGTAAATCATTTCGAACAACTTTATCCATTTTAATTTAGGTCTATCCATTATTCTTCTAATTTCCCATGCTAATTTTATCCATATGTCTAATTGGTGCATTTTTTATGGTTTTTTGTACATTTCCAAATCACTTGAGCCTGTTTTAAATAACTTATCTTCAATAAATATCACACAAACTAGTTCTCTAATATAATCATAACTTCATTCATCCCTTCTATTTTTGCAAGCATTCGTCTTAACATCCTCATTTCCGCTACACCCAACTTAGCTATCAATTTCTTTTACTATCTAACTCTCAGGTATGCATAACACTTCATCATAAAGATAAGTACTAAAATTTAACTTTAAATTTCCATGATTTTCTATTATCACATTATACTATAAAGATAGTATGTAAGCACCGAATTTTCCTCTTCTGTTTTCGCGACCTTCCCGATTTAGACTCCCGCGAACCTTCCTTTCCTTCTTCCCTCTCTCTCCTACCGCCTTCAGCTGGCTTCACTCTTTATATATTGAGGCTGAAGGTGGGAGTTACCATGCTTCACCGTGCTCACCCCTTGCAACCCGCTCCTGTAGCAGCCGAAACCCTTGCCAATCTGCCTCGTTCCTCTCTCGCAGTTCGCCCAAAACCATCAGCTTTCTAACTGAACCCTTGCGACACCATCGCGATTAGAGCTAGCCAAGAAGGCAACAGTGGAATCGTAGACGTGTAGAGACCACCGAAATTTATCTCCTTTTGTTCGCTCCTACTTAAAACCATTCAACAAGATAGCCCTGGTCTCTCTCCCCCTCCCTCCCACCCACTTATGCGGGCTTCAACTCCTCTAAATCATGTAAATCCATCTTCCATGGGGATTGACTAAATCCTGGATTTAGGTCAAATGTAGGAAAACGGATCTAAGAACCCACAGGATTCAAAAATGTCATTTTTGCAGTTTGTTAAGTTTTAGGTGTTACATATGTAAATCCCCAAAAAGTTAGTTCAAAACTTACAATCACCTCCATATCAAAATAAAATAAAAATAAAATATTACACTGATAATAATAACAATAACAATAATAATAATAAATGTCAATTAAGTTGCACCTAATTTAATGAATAATTAAGTTTAATTGCATATTCATTTATATTTTATTTTTCTATATAGTGTAGAATTGCTAGTTGAACATTTGAATTTGTATTAGTATCGTGGTTTCTTCCTTGAGGTAAGTAACTACTTTTTATTAAAGGATAAGTGTACCAATTAAGGGCTCTAATCCTTATTATTTGTAGTAGATTCATAGTTATTCCAAAGGATTGTCAGTCATGCCCATGATACTTCAATTATGATTTTGCACTTGTTATAGGATTCAATTAGTACTCATGATAAAATTACCGTCTTACTCGATTGGAATGGAATCTCAGAGGAAAAAAAAAATAGAATTTTGGAATGAAGATTGATCTGCTGGATTTTGATGGTCCCATGAATCCAAACGAGTTCATTGACTGACTCCAAGCAGTGGAATGTGTCATTGAGTACAAGGACGTCCCACCTAACAGAAGGGTAAAGCTAGCCGCCATCAAGTTAAAGAAGAGTGCATCTCTATGGTGGGAGAATTTGAAGTGCCTACGCAATGAGAGGAAAAAAATAAACTTGGTCCTAGAAGAAAATAGAAATGCAGTGCAAATACCTACTAGCACATTATAGACAACACGTGTTATTGAGACTTCACCAATTACAACATCAGCATCCCTTAGTAAAGGAGTACACATCTTAGTTTAAGCGGTTTATGTTGAAATATAAGCTAGTAGAGCCCGATAAGAACATCATAGCTCGATATCTGGAGGACTTGAACTGTCCATTGGTAATGCAGTATAGTTGAAATCTTATTGGACATCATAAGATATATGGATCCTATACGTGAAGGTGAATAGACTTCTCCCCAGTATTAGATCCACACCACCCTTCAAACGAGATTTGACCATCAAATCAGGCAGCAAAAATGCACCTTGTGAAGCATCCAAGCCGATCTGGCTCAATGATAACCCATTTAAAAGTGGAGAAAAAGTGAAGATATCTAGTACTCTCAAATCTGTCCTAGCCAGGAAATGCTTGAAGTGTCATGGTTTTGGATACATTGCATTTGATTGCCCAAACAAGAGATCTTTTTATTGAGCATAGGGTAGTGGAAAATATAAGCAGTGACACAAAAGGCACTGAAGAAGATGAGAACGCATAGGAGTATTAGTTTATGGCAGACGAGGGAAAGATTCTAGTGATTTAAGCTGAGACCAAGAGAAAAACTTTAGAAGGACTGACACTGGATTGCAATAGCATTTTTGCTCTCTGGAGTGTTGTATCTTCTTCCTTTTGCAAGTGGATTATTTATATCTTTGTTCAAGAACAGGCAGTGGATCCTCCTCATCGCCTTTATCGCACCATTTCTTCAATGAATTGTTGTTTTCAGTAGGGAAAACTGCCAAACATGTCAAATATGTTGTCCAACAACAGATTTCAACTCCTATCCCCATCCAAAAAGCGTCAATACTTCATATTTCCACTTCCTTGTTATTCCGCAACCATCTCTCTGCCAAACCTAATTCCTAAATACCTTCTAGAAGCCTTGGAACGATATCAAGTAAAATAGTCAATAACATATCATAAATAAAAAATTAATAGTGAATGAAATAATTAAATAAAAATTGGCCTTATGTCAGTACGAGAAGAAAAAAACAAGTCTTACCACATGGTTGACGTTTAATATGAATAAACCATCTAAGACGACTCTCTCTAATTTTGTTCGCCACTGGAGCTGCACCAACCCTTTCATGGATAGATTTGTTATGCATTTTGTCTCTAAGTATCAAGTCACTCATCCATCTAACCATTCTCATCTAAACACCACATAACTTTGTTTTCTGTTTCTCTTTTAAAGGCTAACATTCTACGCTACAAAGAATTGTAGTTCTTGCCACCATCTTTTAAAATTTTCCATTTGAGTCTAAGCGGTACTTTTTTATCTCACAATAGGCCCGGTGCATTTCTCCACTTCAACCAACCAATTTGAATTCTACTAACAACATACCCATCTCTATCACCATCACTTTTAATGGACATTTATAGGAGGATCAATTTGGTGTATGCTTTTCGTTGATGATATTCTTCTTTTAAAGTGTAGTACAATTACGATAATATGATTTTACAAAAATCTTCTCATACTGGCACCCACAAAATTAATACAAGAAAAAAAAATTATTCAAGCCAAAAGTTGTGAATTATATGCACCAGACCACTATTTATAGACCATTTAAAATCTAGATTGAAAAATAAGTTGACATGTGATTGATCTTGATATAAGTTTGAATTACCAATTTAATATTGCATTTCTCCAAATAAGCAATTATTTAATTTGAAACTCCGAATTAACTAAATTGCTATCATCAAAACCACATGAATCCTGTACCCAAGAGTGATACTTCCGCGATACTAAAATCATCCTACATTAATGTTGCATCAAAGGCAAACCTTAACACTAAAAGAACGGTGAAAAAGTGTATATCCTACATCACTCACATTTTTTTTAGATAATTCCAAAACCTTCGCTTAAAAAGAAGCACTCCCAGTCTATCTATTTGGTTGGGAAAAAAATGATTTTAACTAATGCACCTTAATTACTCTAAACAACACAAATATAATGCACACATTCATAACCCCTCAACCATTTTGTGGGAATTAACTAAAAAAAGCAAGACTAAAGTTATTCCAATCAAATAAACTAGCCTAAAGCAAGGAAATAAAATGTCAACTTTCTAGCCCAATTCAATTCTTATTAGCCATCATTACCAACACATCCACAAAACATACATAAAAATAAAAAAATATAAACTACATATAAACTAATATATTTTACGATGCTTCCGATGATAGTAGATACAAAAATTTTCATCAACAAGGAGCAACAAAATTAAGTAAAGTGCCAACATAATCCTTGACTATTTGGATGGAGTCATTTTAGTCCGAGACTTCATAGGAATGCCAAAATATTCCCTACTCTTTAAATTAGGGCTGAAATAGTCTCCATGGAATATTATTAGATCTCAATTTTAAAATAGTCCAGAA